GGGTGGATCACCTGAGGTCAGGAGTTCAAGACCAGCCTGACCAACATGGTGAAACCCGGTCTTTTTAAAAAAAAACAATGTGCCCTTCTTAAACTTTCATTCCGCAAGATATGGACTAATAATAAAAGTAGTAAAACTTTTTGTTTATTTGAGACGGAGTCTCACTCTGTCGCCAGGCTGGAGTAAAGTGGTACCGCAGCCTCCCAAGTAGCTGGGATTATAGGCGCCTGTCACTATGCCCAGCTAATTTTTGTGTTTTTAGTAGAGATGGGGTTTCACCATGTTGGCCAGGATGGTCTCGATCTCTTGACCTCATGAGCCACCTACCTTGGCCTCCCAAAATGCTGGGATTATAGGAATGCGCCACTGCACCCGGCCTTTTTTTTGAAACAGAGTCTCACTCTGTCACCAAGGCTGGAGTGCAGTGGCGCAATCTTGGCTTACTGCAACTTCCACCTCCCAGGTTCAGGCAATTCTCCTGCCTCAGCCTCCCAAGTATCTGGGACTACACAGGCCTGTGTCACCACACCTGGCTAATTTTTATATTTTAGTGAGATGGAGTTTCACCATATTGGCCAGTCTGGTCTCAAATTCCTGACGTCAAGTAATCTGCCCTCCTTGGCCTCCCAAAGTGCTGGGGTTACAGGCGTGAGCCACTGCACCAGGCTGTTTTACCATTTAAAATGGTCTCTAAAAAATTATTTACTTCTCCGAGCCCTTCTTAGCTATGGTAAATGCGATGGACTTAAGTAAGTGCTTTGAGATCTCTAGTATTAAAGATAAATTTACAAATATACTGAAATAATAGTGACATCAATTAAGAGCTCCAAAATATGAAAATCCAACAGATAGGATTTTTAAAACCTAGTGTTTCAAAAGATTTATATTTTTCATAGGGGGTGCTCAAAGGATTTAAAGGAGAACTAATTCATGTATTTAACAAACATGATGGTGCCTTGAAGAATACAGAATATTTCAATCAACTAAAAGACAATAGTAACATAATTCTTCTGGGAGACTCTCAAGGAGACTTAAGAATGGCAGATGGAGTGGCCAATGTTGAGCACATTCTGAAAATTGGATATCTAAATGATAGAGTAAGTATACAAATCTGTAATTTAATTTTCTGGTAAGAAAAAATTAGGATGAAACATGATAGGCAATTGTTGCCGTGGTCACCTGAGAAAGTAGTTATTTTAGAGACTTTTTTTTTTTAAGGTAAGCCTCTGTTACCAAGGCTAGAATATAGTAATGCAATCACATCTCACTGCAGCCTCCACCTTCCTGCTCAAATAATCCTCCCACCTCAGCCCCTCAAGTAGCTGGAACTACTGGCACATACCACTATATCTGGCTAATTTTTAAATTTTTGTAGAGATGAGGTCTTCCTGTGTTGCCCAAGCTGTTCTCAAACTCCTGGGCTCAAGTGATCCTCTAGGCCTCTCAAAGTGCTGGGATAACAGGCGTGAGCTACTATGCCCAGCCAAAGCATAGTTTTGATCATGCACTTTGATTGTTGTTTACCCTTCTACACTGGTGATGTTTAAAGGAGTTAATGTATGTTTAAAGGAGTTGATGTTTAAAGGAGTTGATATGCATGCTATAGGTACCGGGAAAAGGGAGAATGTGTATTCTATAGGAGGCCTCTGTGTCTTTTACCCACTAGATGCTGGATAGCAGTCCCCTGCCTGAGACTAAAAATGTCCCTTAGACATTGCCAGATGTTCTCTGGACAAAATCACCCCAGTTGAAAACCACTGGACTGGAGAGAGAGTATTTTGGGGAGAAAAGCTACCATGTGGAAAAATGTCTGTCAGTGTGTCTTTGAGAGTTTGAAAATATTTCTTCATTTCAAAGATTTTTTGAAAGTGAATTTATTGTGTCTTGACCAAGAGATCTGACAGTGAGATGCATTTTGAGATTATTTGCTTCTTCACCCAGCATGTTAATTTTCTTTTGTTCTCTTGATTAGGTGGATGAGCTTTTAGAAAAGTACATGGACTCTTACGATATTGTTTTAGTACAAGATGAATCATTGGAAGTAGCCAACTCCATTTTACAGAAGATTCTATAAACAAGCATTCTCCAAGAAGACCTCTCTCCTGTGGGTGCAATTGAACTGCTCATCTGTTCATCTTGCTGAAAGACTTATTTATAATATATCCTTACTCTTGAAGTGTTCCCTTTGTATAACTGAAGTATTTTCAGACATGATGAATGCATCAACTGGAAGCTCTTTTTTCTCCACCTCTCTCAACACACTCCTTACCATATCTTTTAACACATTAAAAAAAAATCTGGCCAGGCGTGGTGGTTCACACCTGTAATCCCAGCCGAGGATTTGGGAGGCTGAGGCAGGCAGATCACGAGGTCAAGAGATTGAGACCATCCTGGCCAACATGGTGAAACCCCATCTCTACTAAAAATACAAAAATTAGCTGGGCGTGGTGGCGTGCACCTGTAGTCCCAGCTACTCAGGAGGCTTGAGGCAGGAGAATTGCTTGAACCCAGGAGGCGGAGGTTGCAGTGAGCCGAGATTGCACCACTGCACTCCAGCCTGGAGACAGAGCGAGACTCCGTCTCAAAAAAAAAAAAACTTAAAACCAAAATTAGAAAAATAGCTCCCTACTTTTCCAAAGTGAATTTTGTAGTTTAATGTTATCATGCAGTTTTTGAGGAGTCTTTTAAACTGGGAACATTTGTAGAAATTTTAAAATAAGTTTTATGAAATGGTGAAATAATATGCATGATTTTAAGTATTGCCATTTTTATAATTTGGGTTATTATGCTGATGGTATCACATCTCTTGAAATTGTGTTAGGTTTTGTTATTTTGTCTGGGGAAAATCAATATTTACCAGAAAAGACTGGCACTTACTTACTGTTGGAAAAAACTGGTGGTGTTTACAACATTGCTAATCGTTACAAAACATTCTACACTAAAGCACTGATAATAAATATGAAATGAAAAGTCTTTTTAATTCTGTGGTCAAAACTATATTAATTGAGTCAACAAATATTGTGCACCTACCATGTTTTTTTGTTTTCTTCTGTCTGTCTGCCTGTCTTTTGTGATATATGAATCCTAAAGTCCTTGTCATAGTGGCTATTTGGATTGAGATTTTCAAAATTTTTATAAGCCTAAGGATAAGATATTTGCAGGGAAAATTTAATCTACCCTTCAGAAAATACTGAGACCTGTGAAAATTCTTTTCTCCCACTGAAAACATCAGTAAAGGTACAGATCTGCAAGTTTCAGAAAGAACCTCAGGCAGAAAGCAGTCACCTCATGGTGACTGAAACTGAGCAGCTTTGTGACGTTAGGAGCCAGCATCTCTCTGTACAGTCCAACTACCCACTCCACATCTCTGCTGCTGCCTCATCATTGGTTTTCAGGCTTTAGACCTGCCATTGTGATAACTTTGACCCTGACTCTTACCCTTAACTCCAGATCCTGTGGACACCTAATTGGTTTGCTTTTAGGACCTGAGCTATGATACACACAAAGCATGATCCAATTGGCTCTGGCCATCCAGTGTGAGCAGCAGTCTCTAGTCCAGTCAGGTGTGGCGGAAGGCAAGGTTTTAGAAAACCTTTTTTTTTCCTGGGAATGCCCATCCTTATCCCCCACCACCACTCTCCTTTCATTATCATAAACAATGAAGCAGGCCAGGTGCGGTGGCCCATGCCTGTAATCCCAGCACTTTGGGAGGGCAAGGTGGGTAGATCTCTTGAGCCTAGGAGTTTGAGACCAGCCTGGGCAATATAGGGAGACCCCATATCTACAAAAAATTAGCCAGGTGTGGTGGTGTATGTCTGTAGTCCCAGCTACTGGGGAGGCTGAGGTGAGGTGGGAGGATCACCTAAGCCTGGGGAGGTTGAGGCTGCAGTGAGCTGTGATTGTATCACTGCACTCCAGGCTGGTCAACAAAGCAAGAACCTGTCACTCACACACACACACACACACACACACACTCTCTCTCTCTCTCTCTCTCTCTCTCTCTCTCTCTCTCTCTCTCTCTCTCTCTACCAGGTGCAGTGGCTCACACCTGTAATCCCAGCATTTGTGAGGCTGGGGTGGGTAAATTGCTCGAGCTCAGGAGTTTGAGACCAGCCTGGGCAACACCCCCGAGGCTGGGGTGGGTAAATTGCTCGAGCTCAGGAGTTTGAGACCAGCCTGGGCAACACGCAGGACTCCGTCTCTACTAAAAATACAAAAAAATAGCCTCCCGAAGTGCTGGGATTACAAGGGTGAGCCACGGCACATGGCGAGTATTTGCTTTTTAACAGCAATTGTATGTATATATTATACATATATTTCATGCATATTATTATTTATAATATATATTAAAATATTATTGCTTTTAAATGTATAATTGTGCTACACACACACACACACACACACTGTTTCTCTATACATGTGCCAGTTATTCTCCATTTGCTCCCACCCACCCCATCGCTACCTCAGATTCATTCTCCACCTTTCTCTGCATCCAAGAGGCTGACCTCTGAGAACTCCAGTCTCTGAGCTCCTCTTACCCTCTGGCTTCCAACAACCGGTGACAGGCAGCAGAGAATGGGGGCACAGAGGGGATGGGGCACTTGTCCCTCATTCTGCTGCAGTGTCAGCCGCACTGCTAGTAGTGGCTGCATCTCTCCGTGACGACTCCAGGCAGCCCTTCCTGTGCTGCTCCTGCTGCCTCCTCTTGACCCCTCAGGCCTCAGTGACAGCAGCCTCCTGCAGTGGCCAACACTGCTGTCACAGGCACTCAACATCCTCAGTTCCCCCAGCCCTGCTCACACCACTCTAAACAGTCCTTTCCTTAGCTTCTCTTCAGGAGCCCTGGAGGAGGGCCAAGACCCTGATTGACACTCCCTGTAAGTAGAGCGCACTCCCTCAATAACTGTAGCGAAGTCCTGCTGTTTTCATCAAGGGGATTCTGACTGCACAGTGCATTCTCATAGGTCTTCAGCCTTCCAATAAAACATGAGAAAACCAGATATAATTCAACATTTTATATCAGAAAAGATCAGCTTTCCAACATTTATTCCATTGAATGAGTGCACAGCATTTTCACGAATTATCTCAGGGCTAAATCAGTACAAAATAGTTTAAATTAGTAAAAAAGTAGTTTCAAAGGGAAATCATTGACAACTTCAGAGTAAGTGCCACCACCACTTGGAAACAGAGGACAGAAGGTAGCCATGTGGTTATTGCATGATGCAGGAATCGGGCCGGCAGGTGGACTGTCATTCCTGTCTTTGGCAGCTGGCCTCTGCCTTTGGGGCACCACTCTCTCCAGGACACAAATGGGCAGCAGGAAAATGTCACCTTGTGGATACTCAGCAGCTCATCTATTGGAACGAAACTTCCATCTCGGACAAGGAAAATACTCTGTTGAGTGACCAGCGGAGCCCAGCCCCCAGCCCTATTTATCTAATTAGTATGGATAAAAAAAAAGTGTTCTATGGGATAGAAAGGTGGGAATAAGATAAAGCTAAGCAGATGACCTTATGTGGCAAACGCAAAATCAAATTCTCTATTTGTGGTCTGAGATGCCTTTTCCTGGCCCAGTTTTCTGTCCAGAAGGCTCTTTTAACTTCCAAGTTACACACTATTAATGGGAGGCCCCACAGTGCGGCGGGGTGTGGTGAGCTGGAAAAGCATGATATGCATGTGTGTGTGGCGGGGAGCATCATCAGAGCTTACACAGGCCGCTAGGAAGAACCACAGCTGTCTTCTGGGAACCCTGCTGGGGCAAACAAGCCCTCTGCCTTTCCTGCCCATCTCAAGAATATTTCTAAAAGGTTTTAACCAGCAAGTTAAAAAATGTTAACCCTCTTTATGTAGGTACCCTGGACACTTTTTCTTATGGTTCCTCCCAGATGGTTATAACTTCTGTGTGGCACTATATCCCTTTAGTAACAAAATTTCCTAGAAGGCTCACAAATCATGGTTGGCAGTGCAATCTTTTCAATACTGGACACATCCCATGCCGAGACCCCCTGAACAGCTTTTGTTTACTATCACTGGCAATCAGCCTAAACTTCTCACCCATATATCAACCCACCCCGATGTGTACACCAGGTACTATGTGACCAACCTACTACTGGCTAATGATGCACCTTCTGAGAGACTCTCGCACCCTCACTGCACATTCTGCCACGACAGGTGGCTTGGTGTCACGTACTCCCTGGCACCATCTGATTCATGCCAGGTTTAGAGTTCATCGTGTTTGGCTTCCTGATCTTTGAGTTTAAATTCCTCGGCTATGACCTTCCCGTCTCCATTCCGGTCCTGGTTGGTGAACATATTCTTCACGATCAGCTCAGCATCAAAGCCAGGAGCGAGTTTCCCTTTGCCAGATGCCACCTGGGCATGAATGTACTCTGAGAACTGGAAAAGAAGGGGACAGGACAGACCTTGAGTTCAGCCACTGCGAACGCCAGGCCTGGGGCCAGAAACAGAGCAATCTGGTGGTGACAGGGCTGAAACCTGGGTCTGGGATACCAACACAGACAAGATCATGTTGGCAGCCAAATGACCTATGACGTGTGTTTTGTTTTGTCTTGTTTTTTTTCCAAATGCAGGTGAAAAACCCTTGTACTAAATGACTCCAAGAGCCCTTAGTATTCAGGTAGCCAATACGCAGCAGCTGTCAGAGCTATCAGTTCCCCAACTTGGCTCCCCACCAAAGGTTGACCCCCATGACCACTCAAGAATGTAAGAACATTTTTGGATGCATGCATTCATTCATATGATCAAAACATACATTCTACTACGTGCTGAGCGCTGTTCTAGACTCTTGAAATACATCAATACACAAACAAACATCCTGCCCCTGTAGTGCTTGCATTCTAGTGGAAAGACAGACAATTAGACATGAACATAAAAACAAGTAAATTACACGTTAAGTTACAATGTAAAATGCTCCAGAAAAAAATCAAAAAGCAGAGCTCAGTAAGGAAGGGAGGAAGGTATGAAGTGTTATATTCAGCGGTCAGGATAAAGCCTTAAGGAGAAGAGAAGATTTGTGCAAAGGCTTAAAAGAAGGGAAGAAAAGGGCTGAACAAGTTATCTGGGGCAGATGTCTCCTGAGCAGAGAGGGCAGCCAGTGCCTGGGCTCAAGGTGGATGCATGCCTGGCTGGTCAGAGACAGCATGGGGTGAGGGGTGGCCGGGTAAAGTGGGCAGAAGGAGATAGCGGGCGAGGAGGTCACAGCAAGCAGGAAGTGCAGGGTCTTCCTAGACTACTGTGAGGCCCTGGAGACAGGGCCTCGGCAGGTCTGACCCAGCTTCTGTGTGAGAATAGCCACTCTGACAACCGTAGAGGCAAGGGAGAGGGCAGGAGGAGCTTCATGAACAGCACTGCTGTGATGCTGCAGGGTGGAGGTCGTGAGAAGTGTCAGGTTCTGCACGTGCTCTGAAGGTAGAGCTGGAATGATTTCCTGAGGATTATTATGGCCTACAAGAGAAAGAGGAGTCAAAGATCATGGAGTGCTCTCACCTGAGCCACTGGAGGCCAGTGTTGCCACTGACTGTGATGGGAAAGGCTTTGGGTAAAACAGGCTCCAGGGGTGTGGGGGTGCCGGTGGATAGCAGGGGTTCAGTAAATGAGGACATCAGGCAAACAGCTGAACACATGACAGTAAAGTGGAGAGAAGAAACTGGAGTGGAGCTACAAATCCAGACACCATCAGGATACGGACCCCACAAGACCACTGAGCCAGTGACTTCAAGATGGAGAAAAGAACAAAGGTCAGGACTTAGCCTGGGGCACTCAAACATGAAGAGATCAGGGAGAAGAGGCCTGAGAGGACGTACCAGGGAAGCAGAAGAAACACCACAGACGTGCGGTGTCTGGGAAGCCAGAAAAAGATGTGTCCTGCAGGGGAACCAGCCGTGTTGAAGAGGAGCGTGAGAACTGACCACTGGATTCCATGATACAGAAGGCAATGGCCACCCTGGCAAGGTCAGGCTCAGAGGCACAGAGGGACAAATGCCAGACAGGAGTGGGTTTAAGAGAGAATGGAACGAGAGGAATTGGAGATAGGGAAGACACACAATTCTTTTGAAGTTTTTGCTGTAAAGGAAGGAAAATAATGAAAGAAATAGAAAGCCACATCTGGGGAAGGGAAAAATAATAGCACCACATCTGTGTGCAAATGAGAATGATCCAGAAGTGCCGATGATGTGGAGAGAGAGAGGAAAAGGCTGGAGGAAGTGCTTCAATAGCAGATGTGGAAGAGGCGGGGAGCTGGAATTCCCCAGGGGTGAGACAGAACAGACGGTTCTATTGCCCAGCTTCACAAAGAGGCATGTAGTCCTGGCTCAAACCTCTGAGTAGCTGTGTGACCTTGGACAAGTCATGTACGTTCTCTGTGCAGTTTCTTCTAAAAAACAGCTGTTGTGAGGGCCAAACAGAGAATACACTGAAGACACTCAGCACACACAGGCACATGGCGAGCACCCAGTAACGAGAACTAAATACAGACTATGTGCCCTGGAATCAAGCCCTGCACCTCCCAGGGACTTGGTTTCTTCAGAGAGGAATGGTAACTTGCATCGAGAGGGAGTGTGTAAAAGCGCTTGGCACACGAGTGTGCTGGTCATCTCACAAGCCCTCCAGCCCACTGGCCTCACCCTGAGAAGGCCTCACCTTCAGAACTGGCCTGGTGGCCTCACCAGGCTCCCTGAGCTCTTCAGTCCCACCTTCCTACAAAGGCCAGTTAGTTACCTCTTCCAGGAGGACTTCTCCATTGCCATCCTTGTCAATTTCTTCAAAGAGGTTGGGTGATACCTCACCATTCCATATGAACATGTACCCCTCGGGCAGGCCGGCCACCAGCTCCAGCAGCTCAATGTCAAACACCAACACAGCACTGCCAGGCACTTCTCCATCTGCCCAGGCGACAGGAGTGGGAGGCGGTGTCAGCTGGCAGGCAGCAGTCGAGTCCATCAACCAGCACCCACCCCGACCTCAGCAGCCTCACTCAGGTTAGGACTTGTGGCCAAAGGAAGAAAACCGAGCAGAGGCTAGTCACTTTCCCACTGTAGGCAGTGGCCTGTTAACGAAATCAGTTTAGAGGGCCGTGACAGAATACAGGGTATTCTGTTCCTTTTTTAAAAAAATTAAGGAATAGAATAAAGGCCAGGCACAGTGGCTCACGTCTATAATTCCAGCACTTTGAGAGGCCAAGTCGAGCAGATCACTTGAGGTCAGGAGTTCAAGACCAGCCTGGCCAACATGGTGAGACCCTGTCTCTACTAAAAATACAAAAAGTAGCCAGGTGTGGCAGTGCACACCTGTAATCCCAGCTACTTGGGAAGCTGAGGCATGAGAATTGCTTGAACCAGGGAGGCGGACATTGTAGTGAGCCGAGATCACGCCACTGCACTCCAGCCTGGGTGACCGAGTGAAACTCTATCTCAAAAAAAAAAAAAAAAAAAAAAAGGAATAGAATACATTGTACCTATAGAAAGGATAGGTATTATGTCATGAATCTTGAGTTTCAATTTTATTTTAGTTTATTTATTGAGACAGAGTCTTGCTCTGTCACTCCGGCTGGAGAGGAGTGGCATGATCTCAGCCCATGGAAACCTCCACCTCCCAGGTTCCAGTGATTCTCTTGCCTCAGCCTTCTGAGAAGCTGAAACCACAGGTGTGTGCCACCACAGCTGGCTAATTTTTTGTATTTTTAGTAGAGATGGGGTAGGATGGTCTCAATCTCCTGACCTCGTAATCCACCTACCTCAGCCTCCCAAAGTGCTGGGATTACAGGTGTGAGCCACTGTGCCCAGCTGTCAATTTTATATATAAAACTAAACATAATACCCACTTCAGCAACACATACTAAAATTGGTACCATGCAGAGAAGATTAGCATGACACCCGTGCAAAGAGGACATGCAAATTCGTGATGTATTGATTAAAAATAAATACATAAATGTGTGTATGTCTAAATTACATGTTTATGTAGGATACAAATTGGGAAACACAATGTATTTCTTATTGTGTGTCTTGTTGAATAAGGTTTGAAAGCTGCTTGTAGAAACTGCACTGCAATGGTAAAACTTTTAAGCAAATCTAACAGCAGAACTTTTAGAATTGTAACAATATGCCTAAAGATGATGATCCAAGATTTGACTATAAGCACTAATTCATATTATATATAACATCTAGATTATATGTTATATGTTATAATTATTTATAATGTATCATATTATTATATCATATTTATAATATATGTTGTAAATTATAATATATAATTATAATTATAAGGATTATAATAATTATATAATTATATATGTAATTATATGATTATAATATAATTATAATTATATAATATAATCACATAATTATATAATTATAATCCTTATATTATAATTATAATTAATTATAATAATATAATATATAATAATTAATTATAATTATATATTATAATTATTTATAATATATCACAGAAAAGTCTTAAAGAATATATAACAATTTTTTAAAGGGTTTCTTCTGGGATTGGTAGGAAGAACAAATGTACTTTACAAGTCTTTTATGGGGAAAAAAAGATCAATCCACAGTGCCTATCATTGTTACAAGTTAGCTCTTTCTATCTCCTCCATGTCTAGATATCACCAGTGTAAAAACGTTGAAAAGAAGGGGTTCCTGGGGCCAGGCACGGTGGCTAACACCAGTAATACCACCGCTTTGGGAGGCCTAAGCAGGAGAATCCTTTAGCCCAGGAGTTCAAGACCAGCGTGGGAAAGATAGCGAGACCTCGTCTCTAAAAAATAAAGTCAGCCAGAAGTGGTGGCACATGCCTATAGTCCCAGCTACTCGGGAGCCTGAGGGGGAAGATTGCTTGAGCCCAGGAGTTCAAGGCTGCAGTCAGCCATGACGGTGCCACTGCACTCCAGCCTGCGCAACAGAGCAAGACCCTGTCTCTGAAAAAAATAGGAGTTCCTGAATTCCTATGTGGAAGACACATTGTGGCTGAAATAATGGAGCAGAACATAACCACTGTGAGGATGAGGTAAAGGCAGTATTTCCAGAACTCGCAACTAATCTCTACCAAAAAGGAAACTGTTGGACAGCCTACAGGCTCAGAAGTGAAAAGCAACAGCCTACGACATTCAACCTGTCCCAGGAAACAGTTCCAGAAGGATGTGCCCAGTCTGACCCCAGAGAAGCCTCCCGGACAGCTCCCAGGGACACCTCCCACAAATAGGTCTGAAGATCCAAGATTTATTTCACTAATACTTGTTCTTTCTCAAGAGAGTAATGGAGCAGTGACATGGCTCACTGAATTCACAGGGGCCTTTAAACGAAAATGCTAAATAATTTTTAAAAATAGAAACCACAGACTCTTTGGATTTTACATGGAAGAAGCATACTGTGATTCTAACTGTGGCACCCCAAAAAACACAAAATTCAGATGGTAAGCAGGCCCCAAACACCCTTGAATACTGTTGCTTACTCACCCACGCCAGCCTCCCCATAGCCCAGGTGGGGTGGAATGATGACTGTCCGTTTCTCGCCAACACACATCTCTCTGAGACCCATGTCCATTCCCAGTACAACTTGTCCAGATCCCAAAACAATATTGTAAGTTTTGCCTAAATTCCACCTAAAATGAAACAGAAGAGCCTCATGTTAGGTCACCAACCCGTTGGCACTGAGAGTGTTCCCATGGGAAAAACGCATCACTCACGGGATATTTCTACCAAAGAAATAAAAATCCCTATCTAATCCTGAGGGAACATCAGACAAACACAAATTGGGGCACTTGCTGAAGAATGGCTGGCTGTCATCTTCAAAACTGTCAAGGCCATGAAAACCCAGGGAAGACCGTGGAAGTTCCAGAGTGGAGGAGCATACTGGAATGGGGTCCTTTATGCTTGAGCTGGGGAGATGGAGGCTGTCGTGAGCCAAGATCGGGCTACTGCACTCCAGCCTGGGTGACAGAGTGAGACCCTGTCTCAAAAACAAAAACAAAACAGAAAACCCTGGGTTTTGGATTCAGCAAGACCTGAGTTGGATTCCTCATTCTGCCACTGAATTTGACCCTGAGAAATGTAATCTCTCAGTTACTTTATCTACAAAACGGAGACAACAAATATAGCTACCTCACAGGGATGTTTTAAATCGCAAGTAACAATTTATGCTTGGCACAGTGAAGAGGAAGTACAAAGGGCTCCCACCAAGCGATTAATCATTTTTGATGGCCACGGGCCTGGGAAGCCAGTTTAAAAAAAGTTTGCTCTATTACTTCAGCCACTACTAAAAATAAATCTACTTCAAAATCTGTGGCATTCCCACCACTGCATAAAGGCAAACAGCTAGTATGTTTTTTTTTGTTTTGTGTGTGTGTGTGTGTTTTTTGAGACAAAGTCTCGCTCTGTCGCCCAGGCTGGAGTGTAGTGGTGTGATTTTGGCTCACTGCAACCTCCGCCTCCCGGGTTCAAGCGATTCTCTTGCCTAAGCCTCCTAAGTAGCTGAGATTACAGGTGTGCACCACCATGCACCATGCTCGGCTAATTTTTGTATTTTTAGTAGAGATGTGGTTTCGCCATGTTGGCCAGGTTGGTCTTGAACTCCTGACCTCAAGTGAACCACCAGCTTCAGCCTCCCAAAGTACTGGGATTACAGGCGTGAGCCATCACACCCGGCCAGTATGTTCTTTACTCCAAGGAGAAAATTCCCCTGAGCCCCCTTGATGCCCATGAGCAGCTGGTGACAACATGGACTGGTGACCCTTTGGGTCACATCCTCTTCGCAGGCTTCCTGGCCTGCCCGTCCCCAAGGGCAGCCGCTTCTTTCCCTCCTCCAGCTGGTTCCCAGCAAACCAAGACAGGGTTTGTGTTTTCCCACCTGGGAGGAACCCGAAACAAAGCCAGCTCTGGTGAGGGACGCCTTGGGGGAGGGAGCCAACTGCTACTGCCTGCCTTTCTTAGGGGCTATTCCAGTTGCAAAGTCTTATGACAGAATATTCCAGAACTCAGTCATCCAGGAATGCATGTTTCTTCTTCCTCCCTGAGGCCAGTTTAAACATGCATGCGTTAACAAAATCCTCCAAGCAAACAATTTGTTGTCACATGTCATCTTTGAACACACCACTCATTCTTTTTCCTCAGGTCCTTTGATTTTCTTTCTCTTTTGGGTAGTGTTTCTCTCAAACCCAGTCCTCGCTCCCCTGCGTGCTTCCTGGCGCCATCCACTGCCGGCCTGCAGCTTCCTGCCTGCTCAGCTCCCACTCTGCTTCTCCTCTCTAGGCAGCAGCTGCTGCCTTAGTCCTGATGAACAGGACTCAGCCCACACAGGGCTCTAGCTGGGACCAGGTAGGCAGGTGCCGGCCAAGCTTTCCATTATCCCACTATTCTGAAGCTTACACCAGGAAGAACACCAGCAAGGACGCCAGATGCTACTCTTCTGCTGCAGATTTACATGTAATCCAGAGGCTCTCAGGGTACAAAAAGCACTTCCTAATAAGGAGCCGTGGCTCATATGGCTCCCAAGTGCTCTGCCAGGATGTTATGAATCCTCCAAACACACGCACGAGGCAGGGAGACCAACTCACCCTGCCCCACGTGAGAAGCAGATCCTGGACCTCCGAGAAGGAGTTCCTTTGTTCATTCTCCACGCCCACTTCCCCTTTCCTCAGCCTTAGGATCAGCAGACAGGAATGTGAACATCAGCAGGAGCAGTAAGAGCAGCCGTGGACCTTACAGACCCTTCCAACCTCATGGACCATTTTCACTCTTAAGGAGTTTGCTTGATCCACAAAAGCACTACAAGCCATGTCCCTTCCCTGCTGCCCTGGCTCCCGCTAGCTTCCAATAACCAGTGGTTGGGATTTCTTTGCAGGGCCTGTTGTAAGCCAGGTCCCTGTAAGTCTGGGCCCTGGAAGCTATGCACATACTTCTTTGATTCTAAAGTGCGAATTTTTTCACAGTTCAACCTCTCTGTAATGGAGATACATTTTATGACTGACAGTAAGTCATCTGTCAGTGCTTTTACTTGGTCAGAGATACATCAAATAATGTTTCCGTCACGCCCTTTAGAGTTGATGAAATACGTTTAAATGTATGAGCATACAGGATCCCGTAGCCCCAGAGGGAGAGCTCCAAAGAGTATATCCATAGGGTCTTTTCTTTTTCTTTTTTTTTGGAGACAGAGTCTCACTCTGTCACTCAGACTGGAGCGCAGTGGCGCAATCTCGGCTCACTATAACCTCCACCTCCCAGGCTCAAGAGATTCCCCTGCCTTAAATAGCTGGGGTTACAGGTGTGCGCCACAATGCCCAGCTAATTTTTGTATTTTTAGTACAGACGGGGTTTCACCATGTTGGCCAGGCTGGTCAAATTCCACAGCCAGAGTCACCCAAAGCCAGAAGGCAGAGGGACAGGTGGAAGGGAGAGAGGGCCCCGCATATCCAGAATCAGGGCAGCAACACACACTTGCTTATGCAAAGCTTTTTTTCTCCCCAAAAACAAACTTAGGATAACTAAGTCAGGCTCAGTACAAAAATGGATATAAAAAACACTGCTAAAATTAGCCGGGCATGGTGGCTCACACCTGTAATCCCAGATCTTTGGATAACTGAGGCAGGAAGATCTCTTGAGCCCAAGAGTTTAAGGTTACGGTGAGCCATGATTTTGCCACTGCACTCCAGCCTGGCTCACAGAAGAAGACCCTGTCTCTAAAAAAAAAAAAAAATTTAATGCTGAAAATGTTTCTCTCCCAAAGAAGAGAAGATTAACTTACAGAAATATCTGAAGATTCAGGTTCACAAGAAGCAAAGCCCCTTCTACACGCCTGACACTAGTTTATGCTGTTGGTTCCTATTTAATATATTCCCAGATTTATTTCAATCAATGAACATTTATACAATGCTGCTTTTGTGCTATGCTCTGGGTAAGGTGCAGGGCATAAAAATGTAAATAAATAAATTGAGTGTCCATAAGGTAACAGAGATAGAAACAAAACTAAAAGACAGGTAATGCATAAGTGTTATCAGACTACAGAAGCAGGAAGAGTTGATTCTTCTAGGAATTAAGGAAGGATTTGGAGAAAAGAGAGAACATTTAAGCCAGGGCAGAAGTTGGCCAGAAAAAGGAAGAAAAACAGTGCACAACCTGCACTACTGCACATGGCAGCCCTGGAAGGTGGAAGATGGGCCCCATTAGAAGAGACTGGTGAGGCAGAACGGAGCTGACAGAGAGCCTTATGTGCCAGACTTGGGAGTTTGCCCTTTATCTGTGCATCAATGTTTAAAGAAAGCAGTTAGGCTGGGCATGATGGCTCACACCTGTAACTCGAGCACTTTGAGAGGCCAAGACAGGAGGATCATTTGAGGTCAGGAGTTCAAGACCAGCCTTGGCAACATAGTGAGACCTCCATCTCTACAAAAATTAAAAAATTAGGGTTAGGTGCAGTAACTCACACCTATAATCCTACAACTTTGGGGGGCTGAGGCAGAAGGATCGCTTGAACTCAGGAGTTTGAGACGAGCCAAGGCAGCATGGCAAAACCTCATCTCTGGTAAAAAAAGAAAAACAAAATTGCCAAGTATGGTGATATATGCCTGTAATCCCAGCTACTTGGGAGACTGAGGTACAAGGATCACTTGAGCCCGGGAGACAGATGAGCTATGATCATGCCCCTGCACTCCAGCCTGAGCAACAGAGCAAGAACTTGTCTCAAAAAATAAAAAAAAATAGCCAGGTGTGGTGGCACATGTCTGGTGTCAGCCACTCGTGAGGCTGAGGTGAGAGAATCACTTGAGTCCAGGAGGTCGAGGCTGCAGTGAGGTATGGTCACTTCCCTCATTCCGTCATGGGTAACAGAGTGAGACCCTGCAAGAAAGAAAAGGAAAGGAAAGAAAGAGGCCGGGCATGGCAGCTCACGCCTGTAATCCCAGCACTTTAGGAGGCCAAGGTGGGTGGATCACCTGAGGTCATGAGTTCAAGATCAGCCTGGCCAACATGGTAAAACCCTATCTCTGCTAAAAATACAAAAAATTAGCAGGGTGTGGTGGCACGGACCTGTAGTCCCAGCTACTCAGCAGGCTGAGGCACAAGAATTGCCTGAACCCGGGAGGCAGAGGTTGCAGTGAGTCAAGATCATGCCACTGTACTCTAGCCTGGGCGACAGAGTGAGACACCATCCCCCCACAACCAAAAAAAAGAAAAGGAGAGAAAGATAAAAGAGAAAGAAAAGAGAGAGAAAGAAAGGGAAGGAAGGAAGAAAGGGAAAGAAGGAAGGAAGGAAGGAGGGAGGGAAGGAGGGAAGGAGGGAGGAAGGGAGGAAGGAAGGAGGGAGGGAGGGAGGGAGGAAGGGAGGGAGGGAAGACAGCAGTTATATGATGAGATCTGCTTTTCAGAAAGACAATTTGAGAGGTTGAAAAATGACCTGTAGCAGGGCAAAACCATTAATAGGAAACTCTTAACATAATGCACCTGAGCAGTGATGCAGGCACAAGCTCTGCAGTGGGACAGCACGGAGATAAAAGCTGTCCACCCAAGAGAGGAGGGTGGTGGGAGCAGCTGTCTGTCACCCTCCAGGCTCACTTCCACACCATTCTGGTTACCCTTACGTGGAGTCCAGCAGGGTCCCATCCAGAAGTGAGGCGTTGTAGTGATACTTGAGGTAATCTCCCTTCTTACTCAGCACTGAGCAGTCAGGGGGTTTGTAGTGGGAGGTGATGCTGATCGAGTCTGAAGGGTTGTGGAAGTCAATCACGTGGATGTCGAACACCAGCACAGCTGAGCCGGGGATATTCCCTAAATGACAGACACGGGGAATTAGTGAATGACCCTGCAGGCTGCAGCACATGGGCCTCCTAAGTATCACCAGGTGTGTCCTCAAGGCCCTCCAAGTGAGGAAAACAGGCACCCAGATACGGAACCCTAGGAGGACTCCAAGACTGATGCTGAAAGGGCCATTAGACGTAACCTCATCTTTATTTTACAGGTGGATAAGCGGCGGCACAGATTTGCTCTGGGTCCCACAGCCTGTAATGAGCACAGTTTGGACTAAAATTCAAAACTATGGCCTTTTGCCCCATGGAATCGTTGAGCTAAGATGAGTGGCTAAGTTAACCACAGATGAGGAAACTCAAGCCCAGCCAAATCAATACTTGCCCCTCACCCACTGGAAGTAAGAGGTGGGGTGAGAAAATCAGCCATAGAGTGAAATCACTCCAATGTCCTACCACTGCTCAAGAAAAGCATAACATAAACTTCATAAAGAAAAAAACACCCATGGCCGGGCACGGTGGCTCACGCCTGTAATGCCAGCACTTTGGGAGGCCAAGGCAGGCGGATCACAAAGTCAGGAGATCAAGACCATCCTAGCTAATACGGTGAAACCCTGTCTCCACTAAAAACATAAAAAATTAGTCAGGTGTGGTGACATGTGCCTGTAGTTCCAGCTACTCGTGGGGCTGAGGCAGGAGAATCGCTTGAACCCAGGAGACGGAGGTTGCAGTGAGCCAAGATTCCAGCCTGGGTGACAGAACAAGACTCTGTCTCAAA